GAAGAAGAAGAAGAAGAAGAAGAAGAAGAAGAAGAAGAAGAAGAAGAAGAAGATGACTGAGCGGAATATCTTATTTTCCCATCCATCAGAAGCCACAAGGAACACACTACTCACTGTTCTTCTTGGAGGACACAGACTGCGAGTCCGGCACAGGGCTGGTCTCCGTGTACTCTAGCAGCACGGCAAACATCAGCCGGATCATGCGGTCACTCCACAACAGCTGCAGCTGGCGGACCACCAGAGGCATGGACTCATGCAAGCTGCGGCATGAGAACAAGGGAGTCACTTTTCTCTTGTTTTATCACAGCTTACAGGTCTTAGATACGTGTTTGGTAAGCATTTTACTATGCTCGCCTAGATACGATTATACGAGCAGGGCTTTAGGTATTTATGCTACTTTGATTGAAGTCCACCCTTGATTTAACTCATGGCATGAGTCATCAAATATTTTAAAAAGTGAGCTGGATAACTAAAAGAATGACAAGCACGGGCAGCGTGACTATTTTGCTCAAATACCTTACACTTAATTTTGCTCAATTCAATACATTTCTCTCAATTTTGCTAAATTAAATACCTTACTCTCAATTACCATTGATTTAAGCAATGAATGGGATAGACATATGGTTTATAAGCTTTTACTCATTCTCAACATATCCTATATTGTCTTCATTACTTCTCCCCTCCCCCCTCTTAGTTCAAATTCGGTAAGAGTTTTACAGCACTTGCAACACAAATAGGTTATATACGTGCTGACGATTACATGTTTCACTAGTGAGTAACATACAAAGAAGAAGAGGGAAAAGAGATAGGGAAGATAGATACTGGATAAGAGCAACCGCCAACCACCCCCAAGCGCCCTACTAGACCATAGACAAAGACATGACTCTCCCAAAGTGAGGCATCTGACAAAAAAGGTAGCAGAAAACCCACTAGAAGTGCAAAAAGGAATTTTCAAACATCTTATCAAAAACCTAGAATTGTATTTCTTTTTTTCGTTAATTATTGTAAACGTTTCACGGCACTTGCAACCAAAATAGGCCACGCTTATTCCCCCATTTTTTCTCTGAATAGTCTTAGTAAGAATTGTACAGCACTTGTAACAAAGACAGGCCACACTTAATCACCCACTACGTATCAAAAGTTAGCTACCTCTGATCCGTCTTCTGGGAAAACCATCCAAGGACCGGGTGCCAGTGAGTAAGGTTGGACTTCTTGTTCTGTACGTATTTGTTGCAGTTCTCCAGGAGACGGATCATCACAGTCTGAAATGCACAACGAGAACAATAATATAAGCTATATGTCAATTTAATGGGTACAATAACAACAATATAATAATACAACGCCAAAGTCCGAACCGCACAAACACAACAAGAAATAATTATGTCAATGTTTGCGTTGGTTTTGGTACTTGTCTTACAGTGCTCGTAACTGCACAAGGTCAGACGAGAGTGCGGAACACATTAAACATTTTCCGTCTGGTAGGAATTAATTTTGAATTTTGCCCGCGTGGCTGCCAAAAACCTTCTTTTATCGATTCTGAATGACCAAGGGATCTTTAAAGTGCGCAACTTGCACACAAGACCTCCAGGATTTTTCGCTCCTTATCCGAGAAGGCTAGGTGTTAGATCATACCTACCCAAAGATCAGAGGTGGGGCTGAAAGACAGCACTGTGAAGGAGCCAAGGAGTAGCAGTAGAAAGACTGCAGAAAGAGTCAAGAGCCCAGAGGAGGGGGCAAAGGGGG